TTGAGAGACTGTGCCTTTTAGAACAGTGCGTCTTATGGTCGTGAAAATACGGTATGTGAGTGGGTTCCTAAATAAGTACCACAATTTTGCCAGCAGGTGTCAGGATTTGTAGGCTTCATTTTGGCAATTATCTCTGGGGTTCTAAAATATCTCATGACCACCTTCCATTTAAATTCTCCCCACAGCCCAGAATTAGTCACAAGTTGGGCTTCACCGAATACCTCTTCCCAGGTGTCGTCTGAGATTTGAGTGCCAGTCTCAGCTTCCCACCTTGCCTTAATATTCAAAGTTGCATTTGTATTGAAACTCATAAATGCGTTATAAAAATTACTGATTAATTTTGGGGAGGAATTACTTTGAAATATTTTTAGAAATAGTTCCTCAATGGATGAGGGTTCCAAAACTTGCCTCCATTCTTTATGTTTTGTTAAAAAGCTTCTTAGCTGCAGAAATCTAAAAAAGTCAGAAGAAGGAAGCCGAAACTGACCTCTCAACTGTTTAAAGGAGCTCAGGTGCCCATTCCTCACAACAACATTTTCTGTTCTTAACAAGAGATCATTAGCTTATTTTCCTAGTCAATGACTCATACCACATCACGAGAGAGCTACAGAATCTGTGAGATGTCGGCTTTCAGCCCAGAGGGCGTGTCTGTTTACGTGCTGTCAGGTGAGACGAGCTAAAGAGCTTTATCTGCTCTCATTTGCTGTTTTAGCTGTTTGGTGGTTGTTGAAATAGTTGTGAGCTTTAACCTGAGATTCTGGGGTTTCTGGGAAAATACATTTATATTTAAAATTCAGTTCAGGATATAATTAATCAATATTGCAAAAATATCAAGCTAAAATCACTTTGAATCAGGAAATCGATTATTGAAATCCATCCTAAATAATCACTGTTTACAATGAAAAGTGCCATTTTCATCCTTACATCTTAACAACTAAATGTACCTTAATATACAGTGCAAATACTTAAAAAAAAACCCTAGCCTGGCTTTTTAAGAATGAACCTTTTTAATATAAACGGTGAAAGTACCTATATTTAATTACCTCCCCCTACTGTGATATGGCTAGGGGGCATTCTCATAGCTGAGGTTTCTGAGCTTAATCGGCTAGTAAAATACATTATCTAAGATCTCACGGGAAGGGACAGACAATGCTTCCTGTGCACAAGACGCAAGGTCATAAACGCAAGACAGCCTGACAGCACTCCCGTGTGATAATAATAAGCAATAGCTTTAAATGACGAAAAGGGGGTTTGTAGCCTTGTATTTCACATGGGTTACACTCATCAATGGTGATGACATAGTACCTGATGCTCTTTATTTGATGCTGCTAATGTGTCAATAAACAGAGTATTACACTGCTCAAAGAATTTAATAAACAATAATTTGAAAACAGATCAGATCTCACTGGGGGAAATTTAGGGGGAAACTTAGAAGTTGAGGCTGTCTCCCCACTGACCTTAACATTAGATCGAATGAGCAACACCAGAGACTTCAGTTGATAGAACAGGTGGAAACACAAAACAGTCACTAAGAGGAGCATCATGGTTAGCAGTCTCTGAACTAGGAACAACTAGGAGCACGGGGTCTAGTGGCACAGCAACAAAACAATCAGTCTCTGACCCTGTTAGCTTAGCAGTGGTTGGTCCAAAATCAAAATGCTCAGGCTGAGCATGAGAAAAACAGTCACTTTCACTCACCAACAGGGTTTTCTCAGCATGATGGTGGTGTGAACGCCACTTTCTCCAGGAAGAGGGAGGAGGCGTATTGGGCCACAAATCCTCCGGAGGGTTGTGCTCCGAATCCTCCGGTGGGCCAGGCTGAAAATCCTCTGGCACGCCGTGCTGCGGCTGCTGCTCTGGGCGAATGTGCATGACCTACAGACCCTTGCGGCAGGTTAAACCTACACGCGTTTATTTCAAATCCTTGCGGCGGATTAGACCAAAACAGTGTTTTCTCACCAGCAGAGAAGGCAGATCTTTTTAGTGGGGTGACCCCAGTGAGGAAGACCTGGTGACCTGGTGAATGGGAATCACCCTGATGGCAAGGATCGAAAGTGAAAGTAGTTCTATAGCCCAGCTTCAAACCCGGAAGTGTCACAGAACTGGGTCTGGGACCCAGTGTGTTTTGATTAGTTATATATTTGGATTTGTTGGTTTTCATGGTTTTGATTCTCATTATTGTTTTCTGCTTATGTTATATTCTTAGTTTCTAGTCCTTAGGTTTCTGTTACCTCGCTTTCACTGTGTTCCACGTTTCATGTTCCATGTTCCCATTCCCTCGCCACTCCCTGGTGTATTTAAGCCCTGTGTTTTCAACTGTCCATTGTCGCGTCATTACCCTTTCTGTGCTGTGTGTTTCCTCTGAGCTCCTAGTTTCCGTTGTTACTCGACAACTCCTCTACTCTCTACTACTTCTCGTTCCTAGTTTTCTAATTTCCAGTCATGTTTTCTTTCGTGTATTTTGTATTCAAGTTTTTTATAGGGCAATAAAAGCTGCCTCCTTTAGTTCATCCCTACGTGTCGTAAGTCCTGCCCTGCATTTGGGTCCTACATCCTGCCTGCCATAAAGCCAAAAAGCTGGAGGGTCAGGTAACTAGATCTTCAACTTTAACCCACAAGCCACCCAGCACAAGAGGAACGGAAGATAAGGGAGTCATTCTGTGGGTATGAGGTAGCATATTTGATTTCAGGTAAGGGGAGATAATTAAACTGAAGGTATGTAGTTGTCCCTTTACATAGAGCACCATCCAACCAACCATCCAATGTTTGTCAGAAGCCAGCATGGTGTGCAACAGTCAGCATAGAAAACAAGACCTTCCTCTCCCCAGTCACTTGCTTAAGTTCATCCATGGGGATTCTGAACCATTCACTGGCAAACACTGGTGAGTTTGCCAATGGAGACCTAAATTATTCAGAAAAGGCTTGGGGGAAAGAGTTGTCTTAATATGAAACCCAAATTGAGTTCTTTGGTATCAACTTGAACCGCTTTGAGAAGAGAAATGCTGAGTATGACCCAAAGGACACCACCCCCACATTCAAGCATGGCTCTGAAAACATATTTTGGGCTGTTTTTCTGCTCAGAAAGATATGATGCATGGGTGCATCTGGTTACTCTAGAGGGTTAAGATCACGAAATGTCTTAGCCACTCTTCAGACCTAAGTAACATAGAAAATCTGTGGAGGGCTCTGAAAACTTTGAACCTAAAGGATTTAGAGAATTCCTGTAAAGAGAAGTAGGGCAAAATCCCTCATGACATGTGTGCAAACCTGGTGACTGACTACAATAAACATTGTACTACAGTGATTGCCAACAAATGTTTTTCCATCAAGCCCTCGTTCATGGGGATCAAATAGTCCTTTTTGTCCTTTTACTTAGTGTCATAGGGCAGCACGGTGGCACGGTGGTTAGCACTGTTGCCGCACAGCAAGAAAGTCCTGAGTTCAATTCCACCATCAGGCCAGGGTCTTTCTGTGTGGAGTTTGCATGTTCTCCCCGTGTTTGCGTGGGTTCTCTCTGGGTACTCCGGCTTCCTCCCATCGTCCAAAGACATGCAGCTTGTGGGGATAGGTTAATTGGATAATCCAAATTGCCACTAGGTGTGAATGTG